TCAGAAGCCACCCTCGGGGGCTCACCTCGCCGGTTGGAAGCTGACCCCATATTGACCCTTTCAGGGAATTTTTTCTCATCACACCCGTGAAGGCACACACACACACGTGGCACACATGCACAGAACACGTGTGTGTAAGTATGCACGTGGACACAGCACACACACACACAAGCACACACCACACCAACACTGCACAGCACACACACAGAACACACTCAAATGCACATACAACACACACACAGAATACAGACAGCGCACACAGACACGCACATACAACACCCACAAAATACACAGATCACACACATGCACATACAACACACACAAAACACACACACAGAAAGCGCACACACATGCACACACAACACACACTGAACACGTACACAGAACATGCACACATGCACATACAACACACACAAAACTCACACACAGAAAGCACACACACATGCACACACAACACACACTGAACACGTACACAGAACATGCACACATGCACACACAACACACAGAGAACACGCACACACACACACCTGGCCCAGGGTTGCAAGTCTGTGGGATTCCCAGCGCTCCCAGTTGCCGGCCTGGGTGTCCTGCATGCTCCCTGGCCCTCTGCCCGCTCGCCCACAAGGCAGCAGGGCCGCAGGTAACCCTCGGAGGGAGGGGGGCGAGGTCCCTGGACGTCCCATGGCAGAGTGTGTGCAAATCCCGGGGACGTTTAAAGCCTCATCAAACACACGGGGGTCATTCCTTTTGATGACCTGCCGCCTGTCCGCTGTGGACCCACGTCACCCAGAGACCTAACCCCTTGCAGAATCATAAACCCGCTCCAGCCCGTGGACGCCCACCCACTGCAGCCCCGAGGGCCCGGGGAGAAGCGCCCCCGGAGCTGGAGACATCCCCCCCACCCTGGCTCCCACAGAGCCGGTTGGCGGGTGCAAACTGCTGACCCCCCAGGTCGAGCCCCAGCGTGTAACCTCGATGCCAGGAGGGCTCCCTTTGCAGATCCTCGAAGGGGCATCCGGGTCTTCGGTCCCTCCTACGTCAGGAGCAAGGAGCTGACAGCTGTGCATCGGTCACGTCGGCGAAGGCCCCGAGTGGACCCTGGTGGCGCAGTTCGCACCCAGGCTTCTGCGAGGCTGGCTGCTCTCGCAAAGCTGCACAGGAGACCCTCGGGCAGCGTCCACCTGGTCCTGCAGGGTTGCTTCGAGTCAGGGAGACTCCCTGGCCGCGGTGGAGGATC